CGGAAGCTCCAGCCTGAAAATTAAAACAAAAAATTAATAATTTATTTAAAATAAATTTCAACACTAACAACTAAAATTATAAAGTTGTTTAGTAATATTAAAGCTATTTTAGTTTTAATTTCCTTACTAATCATAATAATATTATGACAAGTAATAATGAAACTATATACACCCATACAAAACATAGTCTATCTCCATCTATATCATTTGATATTTGAGCTCACTTGCTTTTCTGACAATCCCCATGATTCACTTGAAAATGGTGGTTCCATGTCTATTGACAAAGCAGCTCCTGAGGAGGAGGCAACATCCCAATGATTGGTTACTTCAGTCCTGACATTTGTAATCTCATCATGATTTTTTTGACGATTTGAGTTGTTTTGCAAAAAACAAATTTGCTCCAACTCCGTAGCAATTTCTATCATCCTTGGCCGCTTTTCCCCACTCAAGCTTAAGCATCTATATGCAAGTTTAGCAACCTTTATAATTTCTTCATGTGCAGAACTATCCTTAACTCGAGCATCAAGAATGTTAAAGAGGTTATTTTGTTCCATGGAAAGTTTGAAATGAGGGGCCAAATTTCTTCCACCTCCTGCCCTTTCCAAAGAAACTGGTTTTTCTCCAGTTAAAAGCTCAACAAGGACAACTCCAAAGCTATAAACATCACTCTTTTCTGTAAAGTGACCTGATTGATAATATTCAGGATCTACATACCCAAATGTGCCCTGAACATTTGTGGTCAAATGAGTTTGATCAACGGCAATTGATCTTGATGTCCCAAAGTCTGAAACTTTTGCCCTATACTTTTCATCTAGTAAAATATTTGAAGACTTGACATCTCGGTGATAAATGGGAATGGAGGCTGCCGAGTGTAAGTAGGAAAGGGCAGATGCAACTTCTGATGCAATTGCTAATCGTCTTTCCCAGGATAATGGGAAGTCCTCATTTTCATCATGTATGTACTGGAAAAGTGTCCCATTGGGGATGAATTCATAAACTAGCAAAGGAGCTTCAATCTCCAAACAACACCCTAATAACTTAACAATGTTTCTATGATTAATCTGTGTAAGAATAACCACTTCATTGATGAAATCTTTAACTTTCTCTTCATCCAGTACTTTGGACTTCTTAATTGCAACAATTCTTCCATCAACCAACATTCTTTTATAAACAGTGCCCTGACCTCCTTGACCAAGTATTCTGTTCCTATTGAAGTTATTAGTTGCCTTTTTCAACTCCTTGATACTAAATGTTTTGGTATTTTCAACGTTACCCTCAGTTGAAGACAATTGTTGCTGCCATAATAAGCTTTGTTTGAAGAACTGGCTTCGGAGCTTCATTTTCCTTCTCTTCTTTAACATTTTGAACAACCCCCATGCACTAATAACTACTAAACAAACTACTGTAAACCCCAAACTGATACCTACAAACATTAAGGAAGGAGAAAGGATGACTTTATCAAGAGATCTCCAAGAATATCAAAATTTCAAGAACTCAATACTCCAAATTAATTGGAAGTTTAAGTTCAAGTTTTAAAATGGATAGGAATAAATTAAAAAAAGAGGATTATTAATTTATTGTATAAGTCATAACTTATCATAAGATATATATATATATAAATCAGAACTTTATAAAGTCCTATTTCACATTGGTGTCAATGTTTGGTTAACATAGTTGCCATTGCAAAGAAAAATCAAAATGAAATGAAATAAAAATAAATAGAAGTCGGTAGAATAAGGGGCTTACCCAAAATGATAGGCAAGGTTGTTTTGTTTTTGCAAGTGTAGGATCCGATGGTATTCCGGCAAGTTCCATTGCAGGGATACTTGTCTGGTTCTTTGCACTCATCAATATCTAGTGGAGTATTAAATTAATCAGAACATTCCATCATCCCCAAATTTAAAAAAAAAAAAAAAAAATTGAACATTGCATATGGATGGATGAAACTCTATTCAGAAAAATATGTACTGCGCTCTGCAAATAATTTTAAATAATGATTTTATATACTATAACTAATTGAAACTTGTT